CTGTATCGTCTCGGTTACTTGTGTAACCATCGTTCCCTGAAGGAGGGAACGGAGACATTACGTCAGTCGTGACTGACGAATTGGGATCTCGCCCGAGAGCCCAATCCCCTTCGAGTGTAAACTAAACAAGCCAATGACAGTTGGCGTGCGTGTTTCGCCACGCGCATCCCGCCCTGCAGCGCGGGTATAAAAGGAGAGCGTGTGCAAAGCACATCAGTTTTTCACTGAGGAGCCGACCGTACAGCAGTGTGTAGCGTCTGCGTAGAATCATGCATGATCTTTGGGGTGTTTATGGCTTAAGAGACCCTTTTAGCCTTTTGACATTTGCATATAAATTACAGTTCTGGTCAGAGACTTTAAATTGCCAAATGGTTCCTCGCCGTCAAGGAGATTCTAACCAGCCCCCACTATCATCTCCCCCATCTGACTTCAAACACTGTCCAAAGAGCTGAAAATGGCCAGGCGATGGGCTGGCTGGCCAAGTAAACTAACACACACACACACACACACAAACACACACACACATAAAGACCTAGACTCAACCTGCCTGGGGTGAGATGACTACGCAGCAGAGATGGCAGCAAAGGACTGCCAGGGAAAGACACGGGCTTACCACGAGGGGAGCCGTACCGTGGAAGAATACACATGTGGGATCACCCGAAGGTGGAATCACTACACACGGGCACCTAGCCCAGCACAAGGGCTGACCTTGGGCATGCACACGAGTGCTGAGCCTGGCGTCTGGCGCTCCGCCACGCCTGACCACCGAGGGTGCGGGAGGAACTCCACCAGGGTTCGCCATGGGGAACTGAACTGAGGAGCAAAAAAGCACACGTATCCGGTCCGTAGAGGGGAATGGTGCAGCAAGCGTGATCGACACCGAGCAGGTCCGGTGTTACTGCCTACCTGAGGCGAGTACACGAGAGGACACGGGCTCTACATGGAGATTATAGAATCTCGCAAATGTGTTAGGCGTCGCCCAGCCAGCAGCTCTACAGATGTCTGCTATCAAGGCACCCCGTGCCAATGCCCAAGAAGATGCAGCTCCTCTCGTAGAGTGAGCTCTCACTCCGAGGGGGCAAGGTAACCATTGGGCCTGGTAAGCTAAGACTATAGCAGGTGGGAACTTTGGGCACATATCCAGGTCGGGCTCTCAGGACAACGTGAGAGTTACCCGTTCCGAATTCCAGGCACGAATCGTCGACCGAAAATGCCTGCAGGTTCCCTACTCTCTTGACCGAGGCCAATGCGGTGAGGAGCACTGTCTTCAACGACAGAAACTTAAGCTCTACTGACTGCAGAGGCTCGAAGGGCTCCCCCTTCAAGGCCGCCAGGACCGAGGGGAGATCTCAAGAGGGTAACAGGTGAGGGCGCGGAGGATTTAACCTCCTTGCCCCTCTGAGAAACCTGATGATCAGGTCGTGCTTCCCTAGAGACTTACCGTCTACTGCATCGTGATGTGCGGCAATGGCGGCAACATACACTTTCAGGGTGGAGGGAGACAGCCTTCGCTCCAACCCTGACCTTGCACAGTGTCTGTGCGAGAAGGCTCACTGGGGGAAACGTGTATTTGCGTAGGCCCCGAGGCCAGCTGCACGCCAGTGCGTCCGTGCCGAGGGTCCTCTTGGCAAGGGAGTAAAACAACTGGCAATGGGGCGTGTCTGGGGAGGCAAACAGGTCAATCTGAGCGTCCCAAAAGCGCCTCCAAATCAGCTGGACTGTCTCGGGGTGGAGTCGCCATTCTCCCGGAAGGGCGGGCTGACGTGAGAGCTCGTCGGCTGCACGATTGAGCTCGCCTGGGATGTGAATGGCGCGAAGCGACCTCAGATGCTTCTGACTCCAGAGGAGGAGATGGCGGGCGGGGTGCGACATGCGACGGGAGCGTAGACCGCCCTGGTGGTTGATGTACGCAACGGTCGCAGTGTTGTCCGTACGGACCAGTACATGCTTGTCATGTAGCAGCGATTTGACGCAGCACAGAGCCAGCCATACTGGTTGCAACTCGAGGCAATTGATATGCCACCGCACTCGTGGCCCTGGCCGGAGCCCCGCAGCTGCAATCACATTGCACATGGCACCCCAGCCCCGGGCAGAGGCATCTGTTGACACAACAACATGCCTGGATACTTGCCCAAGGGACACCCCTGTCCGAAGAAAGGCAAGATCTGCCCACGGGCTGAAGGTCTGACGGCAGA